CTTACCCTTAGGCTTGTAAAAGCTGTGAAATTTTCTTTCATTGATGTATGCAGAAGCCATTAGTAAACAAAATAGTGGCTTTTTTTATAACAATAGGATATCAATGGGGTATTTACTGACAATAATAGAGAAGTAAGTGGGTGATTGGGTAGATTTTCTATCAGAGAGAATTACTTTGTGATTATCAAGTTCCCCATTTTATATCAATTTCCCTGGTGTGTGTGTGTGTGTGTATATATATATATATATTTTAACCACTGGCAACATACTGTAATAGTTTGTAATACGTAACTGCATGACAGTGAAAGACGACTAATTCCTGTGTTAATTCACTCTTGGTCGACTGCTGGGTTCAACCCTCTTGCCATCTTCCCCGACAGGAGCCAGACCTCGGCCTCCCTCCTCCCAGACAGGGAACTGCCGAGAAAGGGGTGGCTGAGCGGGCACTCTGCTAGCAAGGAAATACTGCAACCGCACAAAGCTCGCGGGTTGTTATCCCACATCTGTGGGAAAGAAAGATGTGGAAAGCTCTCAGGAAAATGAATCTACACTAAGGAAACAAACCTGTGAAAGGGGCTATTAACCAAAGTCTCATTTTTCTCTTCATCACTGCAAGTTCACTCAATAGGAGTCTAGTCTTTTTTGATTAAGGAAAGGGTTTTTCCCTGCTGAAAACCTAAGATACACCTTCTCTTGGCCTTCCATAATTTCTGAGCTAGGATATATTTGGCAGAAAAAAAAAAAAAAAAAAGCTTATGTGAAAATGCTGTCAAAGAAACCTGAGCATTACTAGCATATTATTGACATCATTGGCTATGACTCTGCAGTTATATATATATTTTTTTTCTCCTGTGGTGATGTGGTTTTGACGTGTGGAAATAATGCTGATCTAGGAGATTTGCCTATGAAGATATTTGTGGCATATGGCCATGCTGGGTCTCTCTGAGATGGCCAAGACACACGATGGAAGTCAGGTAATCCCACTGCACCCAGGGCGAGTGGAGGAGGCAGCCGGTTTCAGATAAGCGGGAATATAATAAAATGGTGCCGGGCAGCGTTACGGTCAGTAACGTAAGGAAGGCCTGGCCACCACCACGGCCAGGGGATGCGGTGACCAGGCTGTGGGCCTGGATAGCGACATAAGCGCCCTTTGGCTTTTGAATTCCCACTTTCTTAACCCATTTCCATGGCCAGAGAGAAGCAAAACTCCACCGCACTGCTGCTTCATTTATTTATGAGTGCCACAGGCCACAAGCCGGGAGAAGCCACCTCTCGCTCTTGTCCCCGGGGACAAATCCCGG